CCAGGACGTATTATGACAATAGCTGGAGAATGTCTACGTCACAGCCCAGATAACCATACTTCTCCTGTGCAAAATTATGTTGTAGTCAATTACAGAAAAAAAGGTCAGTCCCCAGACCAAGCGAAACCATTCCAACTTTATGATGATGGTAATTAATTACGCTTCTTCACTTTCATTACACTCACAGTAAAATCTTCGTCATCATTAGATGATTCAGAATCAGACCCAGATTCAGATGAAGACGAGGACTCAGATGCGGTATCGTTAAAAATTAAATTTTTTCTTTTAGCCTTGCATGGTGTACGATTTCTTCGAGAAATATCTTGGTTTACTATCACGTTTATAATCTCTTGCCGAATCTCGGGTTTCACTATCTCCAGTAATCGGTGAAGAGAGATCCAGATTTTTTTACCCGATACCTGTTTAGTAATATGGGATACGGTTTTATCAGCTTCAGTCATTGTAAATGTTAAATTATTTTATTAATACTAATTTAAAAATATACTTAAATTAATTATCCAAACATTAGTCTGCAGAGCAGGATATTTTGTATCTATTTTTTTCGATTAAAGATATATAATATATATATTCTTAAGAATGGCGCAACTATTACGGAGCAATGACCCAAAGGGTCTAAATATTTTTGATTTACCCGAATTACTTGAAATCATTTTTTCATATCTAGCAAAAGATAAATCGCTTTACCCAACTCTCTTCGTTAATAGGCTTTGGTACCATTGTTCCGCTCCAATTATATGGAGTAAGGTTGTATTGAATGGAGAAAAAAGTCGTCATTTTACTTATCTGAATTATAACCATAAACGGCTAAAAAGGTTTATAAAAGCAATACGTGAAGAATCTATGCCTTTCTATGGCTCAAATCTAAAGTATCTTGAAATTGCAAAATATCACAATCTCTCAAATAGAAAAATCAGAAAAATTATACAAGTGTGTCCCAATATAGTTCATCTAGATCTCAATTTTAGTAAAGGGTTCAACGATACAGCCCTTATTGGAATAGCGCATTCATATCCCAACTTAAAACACCTCAATATTCGTAATAATAAGGAAATAACTGATTTCTCCATTTCTGAGATTGCACGATCATGTTGTAATATGAAGTATCTAAATATTTCGTTCTGCAAACGTATTACTGATAAATCTATTCATGCGATTGCGAAATCGTGTTATAGATTAGAATTTCTGTATATTGCTGGATTGAAATATATTAATGAATCAATCGCATATTTATCCCCTAATATTCGCTATCTTGATTTGGCATGCTGTTACAGTATTACCAACGGTGTAATTGGTAAAATAGCGCAATTATGTCCGAATTTGGAATATCTTAATCTTAGCGGATGTGAAAATATTACTGACGTACCTATTTGTGATATTGCACATTATTGCCAAAAGCTTGAACATTTCGATATTTGTGGTTGTGATATTTCTGATTTAGCTATAGAAAATATTGCAAGTTTGTGTTTCAATCTAAAATTTCTTAATATACAGTTATGTGAGGGTATTAGCGAAAATGCTGTAAAAATGCTTAACCCGAATATTAAAGTAAAAGGTATCGATCGATTTAATAATTATCATATTGCTAATTTGGCACACGTCATTTTACCTCAATTAAGAACAGAACAGATAAATGAACTTATAGCAGAAGTCCTACATCAGAGCTATACTCATGATTCTATTAATGGATAATTAGGCATTCGTCAACCTTCGGCTAATTTCAGACAAAGAATTATTATTTGCTGTGATGTATATATATCTGTGATAATTTTCCTTGTTTTACTTTTGATTTTAGACATGGACACTGACCGATGTTAGCTGATTTTTTGACGAAAACTTCATGTAATTGCTGAGGAGATACATTTGGAAATAATGGTAGTCCCTCACCAGTAAACCAAAATTTCTTTACCCCCCTATCAATGAATTTCTTTATTAGTACACTTGAAACATCTTCTAAGGGACCGTGAAATTCCTCAAACTTTCGAAGATATACTCTCGCATTTTTATCGGCTTCTTCTGCCATTTCTTGATTAGTATAACCGACAATACCAAGTTCTTCCTGAATTGTGTTTATATCCTCTTCCAAGTATAAAAGTAAATTAAATAACTTCGAAAGTGATAAATCGGAAGAACCTCTATTGTTTTGATTTGCTACATTATTATATTCCACTGCCAGAATGGGGTTGCCATCAATGTCGAGATTTTCCTGTATAGGTATTAAATCCCTCACCAATTCTAATAACAATTCATATGAATCAGCAAGTTTTTTCGCTTTCTTGCTCTTCGACACTGTCGTTTGATTTATATTACTATTAATACCAAGTTTTTCTTGAATTGCTATTATATCCTTCTTCTTATATAAAAGAACTTCATATAAAGGAGCAAATTTTTCGCTTTGGTTGGATTTATTATTAGTACTACTTACCATATTTGCTATAATAAAATATCTTGACTAGTCAAATATATTTAATGCAGAAAATAACGCATAAATTTATAATTTAGGTGAATATAGCAAATTCAATGTAGTAGCGGAGAATGGGTAATTATTTACTGAGTTATTTTTTTTCGGTTATAATATATATAATATAATTATTTTACCAATGTTCGTTGATATTCTTGTAGAAGGAAAAATCCCAGTAAAAGCATTAATCGATACATCGTCGAAGTTTAATACCATTAGCAAGAGCTTGTTCGATAAGCTTGAAGAAGATTATGGAATACGTGATCCTGCTGAGAATCTCTATGGGGGTGTAATAGGTATTCCTGTTGAGAATCTCTATGGAGATGTAATAGGTGAAATAAAATGTTTAGATTTGCAGTTTCGCTATAAAGGAAAGTGGCGAAGCTTAGATGGTACTGAAGTAATAGACTTTCAAATTCGCAAAAACCCATCGTTCGATCTAGTATTGGGACAAGATTGGTTATGGATGCATAAAGTAAAAATAGGTTTCGGGTTTTCTTCTAAAATCAATGATTTTTATACTAAAATTGAAATAGATGGTATGAGTATCCCGATCGAAAAAGATTTTAACAAAGCCAGCTCTAGTAAAAATAACTTATCTAAATCAACGGAATCTAAATCTGGTCTAACTCAAGAGGAGGTTATGAATATAACCAAGAAACTTCTTTCAAATGCCAAAGATAATAAGCACCAAAAGAGACATCACGGAATATTTAGCAACATACCTCTTACACCTCCACCATCCAGAAGATTAAATGATGATGTTTCCAAAAATAGCGGAGCCAGTAAGATTAAGAGATATCCTAAAGTAGGCTCAAAGAGCCATAATTCAAAGAATCGCCTAACGGCCTACTCTGCAATAGATTTAGGCCATGGAGGTGGAAAGCTTTCGATCAAAACACTTCTCAATAATATTTGGAAAAAAGTCTATTCCTTAGAAAATAGTATAGATAATATATGTGAGGCACTCATCGAAGATCAAATTCTTGAAAGGCTTATTAAAATCGAAAAGGAGCTAAAGCATATAAAGAGAGTTTCGGCAGTAGGACTGAAGCGGTAAGCTCGAAGAGCCATTGTTCTGCAATAAGGAAACGCCCCATTTTAAAGCGTAAAGTGAAAGGTAAAGTTAATTATCGAGCTTTATAGCAGAGCTTAGCGTCTGATGTTAATACATCTGAACGTAAATCACATCGCGTTATAATAGGCCTCAGGGGAGCGATGTCATGTGTGGAAGGCATATAGAAGGTTATTTAGCCCCCTATTGTGTCAATTATTCATATCAAAGTATTGGATCTGTCCATCTCCGACCATTAATATCGACGCAAGTGGGAGGTCTTTGAATCTTTTTTTGATATGAGTTAGAATTTTTCCTGATAATATTTTCGATGGAGGTACCTCTATCAATACTTTCTCAGCATCTTTTTCAGTACACTTTGATAACCATAGTATATGAATTAATTTCCCACCCTTATAGTTATGTCTACGATGAAGTAAAAATCGATACTCATCCATTACAATATCGACCATCTCCTCCTGATCTGCTATTAATTCCCGAAAAAGCTGTTTATCTTCATCCGTAATTGGGAGACGGATCTCTTCAGGCTCAAAGCCTATATATTTGGATAATTTATCACATAATTCGTAAGGCATTTTTTGTTACTATGATACGCAATAAAAATATATTTAATTTATTTCGATATATCACGTTACGATGGAGCGTTGTCATATGTTTTAAATCCGCGAATCAGAGATCCGGATAGAAGTATTTCCCGGTATGATCAACCCAATCAAAATAATTAAAAAATCGTTGACGGTCGGAAAATTATTAACCAATCGGGATCGGTATAGAAGTTCATGTAACATACGTAATTGCCTACTGTATTAAATCATCCAAGAGACCTCTGGATCTCGCTATGTCTGGCTAAAAATTTGTATGAATTGAGTATGGATTTCTTCCCATTCTTTCATCAGATCGTCTAGCCATGTAGTACTTAAACCACTCTTTAATATACTGCGACGTAATAACTCTTCTCCGATTAGCCTATCCCGATCTGTTAAAAATTTATGATATTTTCTAGTATCTTCATTCCTTTTTATTCCTCCGCGATAAAGGCGTATATCTCTTTCCAAGTTAGCAGGAAAACACCCCATGACCCATTGATTTTTCTCAGCCTCAGTAATGACCGAAAATTTCTCGGGATCCATTCCATGTTCGATGGCATATTGGCGTAAGCCTGCCTCTGGCTGATAAAGGCGGGTTTTGTTTGGATGAATTGATGAGTTGCTGATTTTGTTTGGTACCCTTCCCTGAGTTTCCGGTAAACTCTGTACAGCAATAATAACTTTCTTTTGATCGATACGAAAAGGGCAATTAAGAAAATAATGATCATCTTTACCGAGACAGCTCCAATCACCCCATATACCTAAACGTGTATGTACCTCTTTGCATACTGGGCATTTAGCTTCTGAATTGGTATATTTAAAAACATCTCGGTACCATGCATTCGATTTAGTATATCTCAAGAAGGGAATCGTTTCTGTACTGCTTCAATAATCACATCTTTCTCTTCCGGAAACTTAGAAATCTTGATGATACTGTTCTGTGAGATATAGCTACTGTGTGACTGCCTTTGACAATTATTGCTATTTTCGACTTGGGAAGACCTAGAAGTTTCAGAGTTTAACCAGGGATCAAGCCCAGTCTCTTCCGTATACGCTATATATAAACTCAAACGAATTTTATCTGTCAAATGACTCGGTGAATCAACCAATTTAGCATGCCAGTTCAAATATTCAGTGGTTAAGGCTTTATCCATGTTATTGTTTATATGATCGCAAATTCAAATTAAGTATGAGTTGTGACTTATTCTTTGGCCGTAGACGCAATTAAAAAAATGAATATAGTTAATTAATTTACGATCATTTGGAACCGGAGAATTTGTCGAAGGCAGTATGACTTTACGGTTTATGCTGTTATCTCGATTTCATGCTTTCCACATATAATAAAATAGGTTCCAGCTTCATATCTACCTTTTACACTTTTCCCATCTCCATGATTTAATTTACATACTGGGCATAACGATCCCTCAATAATATCGTAGTAATCAAATTTTTCAGTAATAAATGTTTTATATAGATCAGAATATCGCAACAATACCTTATTACGAAAGTAGGCATGGTCATGAGTCTGTTTCTCGGGTAAGGCTTTCTCAGTAATGGATTTTAAAGCAGGTGGTATACATGATACACTTGCATGATTTATAGATGGAATAGCGGAGCTAGTGCCAAGGCACATCTTATTTTCTGGCAATATATTATTTTTCGGAGAAAGTGGACGAAGTGCATTAGATGAAGCACTCACCTCTGCATTAGTCTGATCGTTCCCTGAGGGAACGGTTTTTAAAGTCACTTGATTTATAATATTTTGGATTTGGACATTAGTCAGTTTTGAAATCTCATTCGCGCTATAAGTGACTTGCTTAATTTTATCTATGCCAACTCCATCTTTTCCGAATAACATAAGAAGTTTTCTAGCTCTAAGAGTTTTTTTGCGCAGGTTATCTTGTGTGATATTAGGAAGAAAATGTTTCATTTCTTTGTAAATCATTGTTCTAGCCGTTTTATCTTTGGTTTTACCATCGGCTGTAATATCACGAACCTTATTTTCGAATTCAAGAGAATAATAATACCAGTTTAAGATTTCCTGTTGTCTTGATCTGATTGCTGTTTTAAATAAATGAGACAAATGTTGGGCAGAATTTCCAAAGGAAACAATCATCGATTCCTCCGAAGACATATTCCCTGATTTGTCGCCGGAGTTGCTAATTTTGATAGAACTGTCGTTTTCTTTAGTAGGTAAATGCAATTCTTGTATTAAACCTTGTTCAACGATTTGGTTTTTATCAATTTCATCATCCTGTTCTAATTCAGACACTTCAGTTTGCAACGAAGGCGACTCTGTTAAAATCACATGACTTTGATCGTTCCCTGAGGGAACGGTTTTTGTATTATGATTAACTTGGGGCCGTGACTCCATATCTCTGGATGTAATTTCATGAAATTGCGATAAGTCTTGGGCTTGGTTTCCAGCCGATTCGCGCTGAAGCTTTTTTTCTCTGCTTCTATCTCTTATCTCGTTACTAACCTGTTCCTTATACATTGAATCCACGAATTCATCGACCACCCTGTCTTCTAATGATACGGGCTCAGTTTTTAGTTGATTTACACTGACGCTATATTCCTTATCAGAGTGGTCCTCGATAGGTGGCGGGGAAGATAATTGGGATGTTACTGGCAATGGTGAACAAACTGGAGACTGCGAGATATCATGATTCTGCTTCTCGATTTTATCAACAGTTTGTTCAAGTTTCATGATTTTGGCCTTAAACTCGGCATTGTCTTCTATGATCTGTTTTAGTTTTGAGTTTTCGTGCTTAAGCTCAGCATTCTCGGCCACTAGCTTAGCATTTTCTTGTCTGAGGAAATCTAGTTCGGAGGACATGCTTGATATTATGTGTTTTATATATTTGCAGATTTATTTAAATTTGTGATGAAAAGATCACGTCGATTTATGGTAGTAGACGAAAATCGGATGTGCGTTTGGTTAACTGACGATCGAGCAGATAAAATAAATGTTCTATTTCGGGCATGTGTGATCTATTTCGGGTGTGAAATCTATTTCTGGATGTACTACAAACATGATTTAATTTCCCGACTTAGCACTAGATCATGTGTCCGATAAATAACCTATATTATAACGCATAAAATATGACCTTTTCAACCAAAGTTCTTATTATACGACAGGGTGAAACCCGCTGTAACACAGTAAAACCCGCTATAAAGCACATGACATAAAGTGATTTTGATTAGTAGATATAAATAGATTGACGTATGATTGGCTGTATGTCATGTGATTTTATAGCGGATTTCACCTTCTATAGCGGGTTTCACCCTGTCGTCTTATTATTACAAATAAAAATACATAATATCTATTCTGAATCTACGGTTGAACTGGCTTCCTTTTGTCTTTCTGACTTGGGTGTGGACCCATGTGGTAACAATGTCATATTAACTATCAAAATATTACGGAGTATCAATAGTTTCTATAAATTTTGATACTATAAAAGAATCTGCGAATTCTTGACCGAATAACACAATGACGAGCAATACGCATGGTACCCTAGATACCGATCACGAGCTAATGCTGAATTAGATGGAGTTTACGATCTCTAAGGTTGTTAGATCACAGGAAATAATTCCAATCGCAAATGAAAAATAGCAATTTTTTATTATAATAAATTGAACTGATAAAAAACGCCCCCCATCACATTATTAGGACAGCTGTTCGACTTCCTCTCCCTCTTTGCCTTCCTCTCCTTCCTCTTCCTCTTCCTCCTCTTCCTCTTCGTCTTCTTCCTGTAAAAGTGATTCACGAATTTTGGCTAACGCTATCAAAACTGAACGTCTTCCTCCTGGTTTAGCAAGATCGAAACCAGTCGTCAAACCATTCTCAGCTGGCCATCTTTGAACCTTAACTGACTCTTCTTTCGGTAGGCCGTTTGCAAGTTCCATCCAATACGTTGCAGTAATCGTAGCTTTATAAAAAGTAACATATGTAGAGATTACACGAATGGCCCATATTGTCTGATCTCTAGGTCTCGCTTCCCCAAGGGATCGTATATTCTCACTACCACAAGAAAGAATCTCCACAGCGATCTGTGATTCCCCAAAATCAGTAGCATATCCGACATTTTTCAGGTGTTTGTCCTGTTAAAAAGTTGTTTGAGACGACAAAAATAATAATTTTTCAAATGATCAACAACATACAGACCTCTACCACAAGAACAGAAATTTTTTGCATTTTTACCACAAACTCGGGGTCTGAGGACACGTAGGGCTCGTCTTCAATATATAGTTTACATAGCGGGTGATTTCTGGATTTTAAGAATGCAACTTAGAAACTACTATATTTACCAGAAACAAAAGTTACTCACCTGATCCTTAAGGGGAAGTTATTCAGCTTAGCGATACGAAGTAGATCATCCACAAGTGTATCAGTAAAAGTTTCGTCTGTGCCTATCACCTGAAGACCATTCAGCGCGACCTCATGCAATTTCACAACGAACGTTCGAACTTCATCCGTAAGTCCGTTAATATTTACAACATTTAAGTTTGGATTCACAAGCAATTCACCATTGATATCAGGGAGAACGTACTCGTCCGGAAAGTTGACGACTAGACAATATTTAAATTATAAGTATTAGGTTCACTAAGGATTGTTGAAGCAATGTACCTCGTACCTTGAACATTGGGTATAACATCGTTCTTGGATGAAGCTCCAAGGAAGTTCACTCTCAGTGCCTCCATATCTCGTATTTTGAACTTACATGCCGAAGAAGGGAGGTCGTCTAAGTCATAGCTAGCATTAGAGCCGGAACTGAGCCTAAGATTACTGGTGGCCTCCGCAAGAAACGAGTCCTGTTTGGCAAGGCGCTTAGGTTGTTGGCGGGAGGCAGATGAGCTCGTACTTTCGGTTTCAACGTATTTTCGTTTTTTTGAAGTTTTTTGTGCAGTCTTTTTTGGAGAACTCTCACTTTCGGCGCTTTTTTGTTTCTTTTTCTGTCTTTTTGAAGACATCAGTAACGCAGGACAACAAAAAAAGAAAATGCGTATGCCACGAGTTAGTAACGATCAGCAGGTCACACGATTACATCATGCATAAAAAGTTCCATGACCTTCTAATTTATTCCGTGATATGTTGATCGAACATATGTGGTACGCAATCGATTTTTCGGAAATTTGATCTAACATCTCTATTACGCGATCGATATTGGGACGAAATCTAACCCCCCTCTTCATTTACAGGTTCCACTTGAGGTGGTTGACTATCTTCAATATCGGGCATACTATGATCACTGTCATTCCGTGATACAGATATCTTAAGGTTTGAGGCCATATTTGCTAACTCAGATGAAGATGAGTATGTTGCATTATTTAAATTTCCGCCCGCGTTATTTGTGTTATTGCTTGAATTTCCACCCGCATTATTTGTATTACTCGCATTATCTCGATTGGTAGTTTCGTCTCTTCTGCTGGGAGTTCTTAGGGTTGGAGATGCGGACCGATCTCTTTGACCAGTGGGAGATTCACGGCGTCTCCTATTTAGCATCGATGAAACCTCCTCAACGGATGGTGCTGGTGTTATATTTCCCACATCTCTATTTCGCCTACGGTTTGTGGTATTAATAGTACGGATTCTATCGAATTCATCTTCAGGCCTCTTCCAAAAATGCGTACGAAACTCATCAAAGTATTGCGCACCCGTTCGACTTCTTCGTGCTCTTCGATTTCCTGCCATATAATCACACATCAACTAATTGGCGTAAATTATTAGTCATAATAGCTAAGATGTAAGCAAAAAAATAATATACCATACGTACATTGTAATCCCGAACAAGATTCATAAACTTTTCTTTACATTGGTGTCCATTAAAGCTCGTATTATGTTCTTGATTAATTTTGGTTGCGATGCTATCCCAAAATCCGATTCGATTCCTTCCAAACTTATGATATTCTTCATTTCTATTTCTACGCTCATCGATGAGGATACGTATTTGAGTATCGGTCCATTCAACCATTTTTATTGCAGAGCAATGAGGCTTTGCCTCTATAATATTTATCCTGACAAGCCGAAAGGCGCCACTACGTGGCATAAATATAATGAATAGACTGCGAGAAGGTGAGACTTGTTGCTTTTATAAATGTGTCTTAAGTATTTTAACAGTACTTCGGCAGTACTTTAACCATACTTTAACCTTATATCCGTGGTTATATTAAGATCAATTATATAATTTATTGTTTTTCCAACCACACTTCAACATTGTTTCAACCATGTTTTAACGGTATAAATCTATGGACGTTCATTTACTTTTTTTACGTAAAAGTAGTATAATTAACCGAATTCGTATGCCTCGGATTTGCATATCTCGGATTTGTTTATCTCGGACCGGGCAATCTCAAATGGTGGGTGTCATACATCTCTATCGCTGAAAAATTAAATAATATTCTTGTAATACACCCGAAATAGATTATGCAACGATTATCAACAATAAAATATATAGGCACACAGATGCCGGATACGTCGGTATAAATGCATCGTTTTTAAATGTCTATTGTCTGCAAAGCAAGGAATTCTGTATCTAATAGGCATAGATTGAACGGTTCGATTTTGTATAAGTTTCGCCGGTATTTAAATCATAATAATAACCTTCATCATCGTCATCAGAAAAACCACAGAAACTCCCATCTTCTTCGTTATCATTGGTGAATTCATCGTCATCGGAGAAATTTTCTGGCTCATCGTCGGATAAAGCAGTAATTAAAGATTGTGGTTTATTATCATTGGCTTTTGTATCACTTACCTCAGATGCATTTACCTCAGCTTCTGGTAATTCCGAGGAAGCAGAGCTTCGAGTCTTTGACTCATCTTGATCAATAGATATACTTACCTCAGCTTCGGGTAAATCATCTGAAGAATTGTCCTGATCATCGGTGAATTCTATATCAGGCATTTTAGCGAAATGATCAATGACTGTTTGAATTTGTAAATTAGTAAATCTTGAAATAGCATCCGCACTAAAGGTTTTGATATGCTGAATCTTATCTATCCCTATTTTTTCGAATAGATTATAAACCTTTCTAGCCTTTTGGGTTTGCTTTTGTAACTTTTTACGTTTGGTATTTAGTTGTGCAATAATAAAATCATAAATTTGTCCTTTCGCCTTTTTCTCGCCAATATGATCGGATTTCGTAAGATTTTTAACCTGGTTATCAAATTCTATAATATAATAATACCAACACGTAATTTCATCTTGATTAATTTTAATCGCTTGCTTTTCCACATCACAAGCTTTCTTGTATAAACTTGTTAAATTTAGTAATACTTTACTTTTTGATGCAGAAAACAAAATAATATCACCTTTCCCACTACTTTCCTGAATTAAATTTTTGGACACATGATTTTTGGCGAACATTTTTGGCGAATTGTTCGCTGAAGTTTCGGTTGCTTGTTTCTGATTAATGGAAATTGATATCTCTTGTATTAGACCTTGCTCTTTTTCCTGCTCTGGAGAGATATTAGATTTAATATGTGCTTTAGCACTAACTCCGTTATTAGACATGTAAGTGTTCTCTTTTGGAGAACTTTCAGTAGGTGACTCATGTTGAGGCTTCTTTTCCCGGTTTCTTTCTCTAATCTCATTACTAATCCGTTTATTATGTCTTTCAGCCAGAAAATTATCCATTTCCTTATCTTCTAATGATTTAGGCTTCCGGCATATAGATAATTCAGTCGAAGATGAATTGGAGACTCGAGACGAAGTTTCTTCTTGATGTTCATCAGAATTTGAATCATTAACAGATATATCAGGTGCGGAAGTATTATCATGTCCTGAGTCTTGTTTAAGGTTACCCTCAGAATTCGTTCTACAGAAAGCATCGATATTGACCGAAGAATGTTCTTGTGGAACAAGTGTACTTACCTGTTGTTTCTGGCTCTGTTCCAATTTCGTGACTCTGTTCTGACCCAAATCGAAATCTGACCCAATTCGGAATAGGGTCGACCCAAATCGCAATTTGATTTGGGTCGGC